CTCCTGCAGATCCTTGGACTTCTTCATCAGCTTCTCGTTTGCCATCACCAGCCCGTGCTCGACTTCTTCTCTCTCCGTCTGATACTTCAACAACTCCTTGCTCTTCTTGCTCATGTTCTGTTGGAGCGTTTCTACCTTGCTCAGCAACATCTCGGCACGCTCTCGCTCTTCTTTCAGGCTCATCTCGACCACCTCAAGCTGCTCAGCCTGAGATGCGATCATGTCCGACAGTTCCTTCTTCTCTCCTGCTGTCTTTGCTGCCTCTGCTTGCAGTGATGACAACTGAGCGTTCAAGGTCAAGACTTTGGCGTCGTATGCAAAGTTAGAATCAGACTGAAATTTCTTGTCCTGCAAAGAGAAATGAGACGAGCAGATTTGATGGAAAATAAGGCAAGGTAAAGACGAGACGAGACGAGACAGGACGAGACGAGACGAGACGAGACGAGACAAGATACAAGTCATGACAAGATACAAGTCAAGACAAGATACAAGACAAGTTAAGACAAGACAAGACAAGACAAGACAAGACAAGACAAGACAAGACAAGACAAGACAAGACAAGACAAGACAAGACAAGACAAGACAAGATCAGACAAAACAAGATCAGACAAGACAAGACAAGACAATACAATACAAGATCTGTTTTCATGTCCCTTGTTCTGACCTTGTTAAGTTCAGAGATAGTGAATTCTTTCTCCATCAGGAGTTTTTCTCTTGTCTTGACTTCTTCTTTCAGCCTCTCACACGTTGCCTTGAGCTCAGCCTTCTGACTTGCTACCTCGTCAACCTCCTTGTTCTTCTCCATCAGAACTTTCTCGAGCCCCTCCAATTTGCCCTTCAGCGCCACCTTCTTCAGTTTTTCCTCCTCCACCTCCTCTCGCGCATCCACCAGCATCTTCTTGATCTTCTCCACCTCCTCCTCTGTCCCGCTCAGAGCCGCCAACTTGAGCTCGAGCGTTCCTCGCAGGTTCTCCTTCTCCTCGCTCTCCTGCTGCATCTTCTTCCTCAGCTTCTCTTGCTCGCTGCTTCCCCGCCACGCCCGCAGGAGGGAGGCGAGGGCTCGCAGCCTCAGCCGATCGCGAGCGTGAGAGCAGAGCTGACGCTTTCTCCTCCGGCGCTGCAGCTTCAGCTTCCAGGAGAGGAAGGAGGCGCCGGTGGAGACGTTGGCGATGGCGAAGTAAGCTTTTTTGAGCATGATGAACCTCGACCTCTGCTCCTTGGCGAACAACCTCCAGCTCGCGATCACGAATTTACTGCGGATGGACTGAAGCTTTTCCCTGTGCTTGTTGATGGCGTACTTGCGCTGCTTCTTGACTTTGATTGACTGCCGCCATCTCTGAAAGCTCTTGAGACAGTTGTCCTTCACCATCACAGATTGCTTGCGAAGACAACTCGTGCGAGATTTGTTGACATACTCTTTGAAGATCGCGTCTCCTTCTGACAACCTGATCTCAAAGTCCGCAATCCTGAAGCACGAGAGAGAACAATCAGGAATGGAGCAGGAGGAAGAGACAGGAGATGTAAAGCAAACAGCAGCAGCAGAGGTAGTGCAGCAGCAGCAGCGTGTAGATGACAACACTTACATTTCATTCTTCTGCGTCAGAAGTTTCTGCAGACTTTCCATCTCACCATCTAACTGGTGCCAACCTGTTTCGATGTCTACAACTTTGTTGAAAATGATTGAACTTGTTTCTTCCAAACTCGCAAGGAGACGAGATATTTGAACTTGTTGAGATTGCAATCTGCAAAATCAATCATCACTACAGAACGACAGCAGCAGGCATATTGGAAGCCTTACGTCTTGTCTTGTTCATTTCGCTCTTTCTTGTTGTCATTCAGCGTCTTGACAAGATGTGCAATGTTTTGCTTCAAATTCTCACCCTGACCCTCTCTCAGCGACACGTCCCTTATGCTTGTCAGCTCCGTCTCAATCATGTCCAGGACAACGCGAAGGTTGCAGTTTTGCGATGAGAGGTGAAGCAGGGAAGAGATTGACTGCACAGTTCGAAGAGAAGAGAGAAAGTTGTGATGAAGATGACCCATCGTCTTCTCACAAATCACCATCTGACCTGACATCTTCTCGAACTCACTCTCCAAGAGCTCTTTCTCATCATTACAATGTTCAAGCGCAGTTGCCAGCTCGTCTCTCTCCTGTATGATTTCGTTCAACTGGCTCTTGACCTCTCCCAACTTCTCCATCGTCTTCGCTCTCTGAACTTCTGCCTCCTTCTTCTCCCTCGCAAGCTCCTCCACCTTCTCCTCCAGCAGCGCGTTCTCGTCCATCCCTCGCTCAAGCCTTACCCTCGTCTCCGCCAGCTCGACCGCGACTGTGTTGCACTTCTCTGCCGACATGATCCAGTTCTCTCTCACACTCCTCTCGCTTCCCTCCAACTTGTCCATCCGATCTCGCATGGATCTCATCTCATCTTTCAACATTTCGCACTCTTTCACTGAGTTCTCACATTTCATCCTCTCACTCTCCATCTTCACCGTCTGCATGCTGAGTTGCTTCTGCATCTCTGCCTTCTCCCTCTCCACATTCTCAAGAGACGCCTGCAGCAACGACAGCTGTCGTGACATCGCAAACTTCTCATCATCCCCTTCCTTGACATTCTTCTTGTACATCTCCACATTCCTCCTTAACAACTCCAGCTCATCCCGCAAACTTTTGTTCTCTTGGATGATCTCTAAGTCTATTTTCGCGCTGTCTCGCTCCTTCACCTTCACCCGCTCCAGCTGGGCCCTCAGCTGCTCGCTTTCCTCCTTGTGTCTCGCACAAGTTCTCTGCAAGTCTCGTCCCGCCTCCTCCGCCTCCTTCAACTTTCTCTCCATCGTTCTCAGCTCGTCTCTGCTGGATCTCAGCCTCGTCACGGAGTCGGCGAGCTCGTGCTGCAACTTTGAGTTGCTCTGCGAGAGGAGGAAGATGTCGCTCTCGTAGTTGAGAACCTGCCGCATCCCCGTCCTGTTCTCGCCCCCCGAGCGACTGGCTGGCAGGATCCTGGCAGGCAGCTCTTGCGAGAGGTTCAGGGCCGATGGGGTCATCGGGTCGACGGAGATGCTGTGGCCATGTGATGCTGCAGACAGCAAGATGAGATGAGAAGACGAGCACAAACATTCTTGCCGGAGGACGTGAGGATATCAGGCTGTCCGAAGAGCCTGCAATCATCGTCAATGTGCTCATAGCTCATGCGCTCCTCTCAGACTTCTGCCGGAATGAAGACTTGGACAGTCGTTGCTCCAGCACCTGACCCGGGTGAGTCAGTGAGTCGAGTGTGTGATAGCAGATGAGAGATCAACGGAGGAGAGACGGGATCGCAAACGAGGAGGGAAAGACGAGAAGAGAGGGTAGGCGATATTTGAACCTCTTTGGATGTAGGCTTCAGCGCTGGGCTGATGAGGAGGTTTCGTCCCCCACTGCAACGTGTCATGTGATTGTGGGGGCAGTGGCGTAGCGTCCTTACCTCTGATGGCGCTCTTCATGCGACTCGGGCCCTAAGACTGGCTCGCTCATCGCTGGCAAGTCGAACGAAGGCGAGGGAAGTCGACTTGAAGATGCAGCTGGTTGTAGAGAAGTAGATAGGGAGAAGCGGAAGAAAGGATGAAAAGAGGGGACAGTTAAGGAGTGAAGAGAAAGTTACTGCGGAAGGTTGGAGAAAGTAGGAGGACGACAGGGATGGACTCAGTGACTAAGTACAAGAGGGCAAAGATAAGGACAACAAGAAGTTGTGGGGAGGAGGAAGAGAGTGATGAAGGGAGTGAAGGGAGAGAGAGGAGAGGAGAGGAGTGAAGGGAGTGACAGAGGAAAGGAGAGGAGGGAGAGACAGAGGACAGGACAGGAGGGAGTGACAGAGGAGAGGAGGGGAGAGGAGAGGGGGAGGATCTTCTAACTCTACAAGCAACTCAGTTTCGCATGGATTCAACGGCTTTGACAGCTTTCTGAGAGGTTGAGGCATAAAAATATATAGAATGAGTAAAAGTTTCAAGTTTCTGGTACTTCACTGAGTGGGCCCGGCCGGGTCGCCGGGCTGGCAAGCAGCAGTGTGGCCCGGCGTGAGGGTCAAGCCTCCTCTCATCATAGTACAGCGAAAACCAACCCTCATCCTGCGTACTGCTGTCTCTCAAACCCGCAATCATGATGGCAACATAATGATAGGACAGGGAGGCCTTGAGCCGCCTGACGAAAGATCCTGGACCGGATGTGGTTGCAAGCCCCGTGAAGTCGGATAACGGAGGCTGAAACATCTTGCGAGGCCGAGAGACCATCCAGCGCTGGATGGATGGTCTCTCAGTCACGGTGCTGGCGATGATGGGAAGACTCCGAGTGAGCCGGGCCTTGGGCGGGACGTGCAGAGCATGTACTGATTTTTAACTTCACTTTGAGTCCTCTACCCTACTTTTTGTCCTCGTACTGATTTTAACTTAACTTAACTTTGAGTGAAAGGCCATACTACGGCGCCGGCGAAACTGAGAGACGGGCCGACCGGGATCCGGACTCCGGGACGGCGCCGCCAGTCGCACCTCTTGCAATTCTTTTTTTATGTCGACAAGCCCGCCTCATTTCGCCGAACATGCAGCAGCCTCCTGCAACAGTTGCTCCCCCCGCTCGTCATGCTGCTGCTGCTGCTGCTGCTGCTACTGCTGCTCGTCCTCGTCCTGCTCCTGCTCCTGCTCCTCCTGCTCCTGCTCCTGCTCCTCCTGCCCCTCCTGCTCCTCCTGCTCCTCCTGCTCCTCCTCCTTTTTTGCCTCCTGCTGTTCACTTGCTGATTGTCTCGCTTCTGCAACTGCTTCTCCGACTCTTAAGAAGAACAGATGTGTTGAGGACGAGGACGGCATGGATGATGATGGCAATGATGATGCAAGGAAAACCTGATGCTGCTCTGATGCGATGACGATGATTAAAGAACAGAATGGGATTTGGTCACTATTGACATGGTCATGGTAATTTCTGATTTTGTTGGTTGCAGCAGCATAGATGTATTGATGCCTTCTCCGTCTGGTTAATGTCATCGATGAAGCCTTCTCAAGCGTTTTCATCCTCCCTCATGCGGCGCTCCTCCTCGCTCGCTCGCTCAGTCTCCACGCTCTTCCTCCGCAGCTCTTCGGTCCTCCCTCGCCGAAGTTTCTCCGGCTCCTCGGACGTGAAGAGGAAGGCAGTGATGGTGGCGGCGACGGGTCAGCATCATGGCAAGACGACGGTAACGCTCGGCATGGTCCATAAGCTGCTGGAGCGAGGAAAGAAGGTGTCCTACCAGAAGCCGGTGGGGCAGCAGACTGTGCCTGTGATCTGCCAGGGAAAGGAGCTGCAGGTGGACCGTGACGTGGACATCTTCAAGCACGTGTGGCCTCAGCTCGTCGGCAGCTACAGCGACGCGAGCCCGGTCGCCTTCCCCCCCGGCTTCACCCGCATGGTCCTCGACGGCAAAGTGCAGACGCGCGACCTGGTGCAGCGATGCCGGGAGTCGTTCGCGCGGCTGGTGGAGGCGTCGGACTATGTGGTGGTGGAGGGGACCGGACACATCGGCGTCGGCTCCATCATCGACCTCAACAACGCACAGGTGGCAGCTGAGCTGCAGCTGGACGTGGTCATTGTGGCGCCGGGGGGGCTGGGGGTATCGTTTGACGTGCTGGCGGCGAATCACGCGCTGCTGAAGGAGCACGGAGTGAGATTGAAGGGAGTGGTGCTGAACAAGGTGGAGGAGAAGAAGAAGGAGATGATCGAGCACTACTACCGCAAGGCTCTTCAGCGCATTGACGTTCCCCTCCTTGGCGTGATCCCCAGCGACGCGGACCTCCCGCTGCTCTCCATGAAATCTTTTACACGCCTGCTGAGTAGGAGGAAGCGACGAGCGTGTGCAGCCGCTGACGAGATTCATTCAGATGCTCAATTCCTAAGCTGCCAGGACAAGGAGCTGAGATTCTTCCGAAGGACCAGACTGATCGTGAGCACTTATCCCTCCTGCTCTCCCGCTTACTCCTCCTCCTGCTCCACCTCCTGCTCCTGTTTTTGCTCCTCCTCCTTCCCCCCCACCTCCTGCTCCTCCTGCTGCTCCTCCCCTCTCTCACTTCCTCCTCCTCACCGCTTTTCGGCTACTGATCGCAGAGTCAGGTCAACCCAGGCGATCTTCCTTTGCAAATCCCTGCCAACTCGCTGGTGAATCCCTTGGCTCTTTCTGCTGGCCCTGCTCCGCCCATTAACTCCTCCTCCTCCTTTCCTTGTCCTTGTCTCCGTTTCCCTTCCGTCCTCCTCCATTTCTACCTCCCTCCCTCCATCCATCCATCCATCCCTTTTTCCTCTTTCCTTTTTCCTCTTTCCTTTTCTCTCTTACTCCTCGTCTTCTTCCTTTGATCTCCTTGTGCTCGCCTTCTCGTCGTCTCCTACTTGCCGGTGCTTGCTGGCTGCTCATATCTGCTACAGTTCATCCTCCATTCTTCTCGCGCCGACTCCCTTCAGGTTCGCCAGCACTAGCTTGATCTCATCCCTGACTCTTACCTCCTCAAAGGCTCTCATTCACCAGCACAAGATTGCCAGGTTTTACAACCTCAAATCCTCTCCTCTCCTCTCATCTCCTCTCCTCTCCTCTCCTCTCCTCTCCTCTCCTCTCCTCTCCTCTCCTCTCCTCTCCTCTCCTCTCTTCTTCTCTCCTATCTCTCTTGCCTCCCCTTTCCGCTCGTCATTCTCTTTCTCCCCTGTTCTCCAAACTCTTCTCACCTCCTCTCCTCCTCATGTTCTCCCCATCTCAACTCCCCGACCTCGATTCCTTACGCTATCTTACAGGGAGGGAGAAGGCAAAGATCTGGCATGTGGCGTCATTGTGTTCGGTCCTGAGAGGTGCAACCCAACCACCTCACCTCTCCTCTCCTCTCCTCTCCTCTCCTCTCCTCTCCTCTCCTCTCCTCTCCTCTCCTCTCCTCTCCTCTCCTCTCCTCTCCTCACCCTTCCTCGCTATCCTCTCCTCTTTCCCCTCCCCTCCCCTCCCCTTTCCTCTCTCCCACCACCTCTCTTCTTTGCTACCCCTCCCCTCCCCTTCTCTCTCTCTGACAAGTTGCTCAGAGTCTCTGATGCAGACATCGCCGGGCTTGAACAGGTTCTCCTGCTGATTAGTTTCTCTCCTCCCTTACCGCCTCGTCATTGTGCTTTACGTCAACCTCCACCACCACTAACTCCTCCTCCTTCTCGTCCTTCTCCTCCGCCGCCGCCTCCTTCTCCTTCTTGTCCTTCTCCTCCGCCGCCGCCTCCTTCTCCTTCTCGTCCTTCTCCTCCGCCACCATTTCCACCTTTTCCTCCATCCCGTCCTCCTCGTCCTTTTCCTTCTCCTTGTCTTACGCTTCCTTCCTTCCTCCTCGGTCATCACCACCTCCTCCTCCTCTCATCGTTGCTGCAGGAGGGGATTCCGATGCTGTACGTGAGCAAGAAAGATTTCGACGGGACGGGGTTTACCCTCCTTGAGAAGGTGAGAGGGACGAGAGGGGGAGACGAGGCGAAGAAGGCAGAGCAGCGATGGAGGAGAGGAGGAGGAAGGAGAGCATGGCATGCAACGGGAGGGGAGGACGAGGACGAGGAAGAGGACGAGGAGGACGATAGAAGAAGAAGACGAGGGAGAGGAAGAGGACGAGGAGGACGATAGAAGAAGAAGACGAGGGAGAGGAAGAGGACGAGGAGGACGATAGAAGAAGAAGACGAGGGAGAGGATGAGGACGAGGAGGACGATAGAAGAAGAAGAGGGAGAGGAAGAGGAGAAAGAGGAAGTGACGTGGAGCAGGTGATGGGTCATACACACAAGCATCACAAGGCAGACATCGAGAGGATCGTCAGGACGTGAGTCGAGCTGATTCTCAGCTGGGCATGTGCTGGCTGACAGCCTTGCAGGTGCCAGCACGTGGGACAACACATTGACCTTGACGCGATCATCGCATGAGTGACGACGTTTGACAAGCAGCTGTCAAACTGAACGACCGAAACTTTGACTAGCATCTCTCAAATCGACTTGTCAAACATACAAGAAAACCAGCTGAACCTGACATGAATCCGCCTCCTTCACGCCCACATCAGAAGCAGAGAGAGAGAGAGTGAGCAGGAGAGAAGTCCAGCTCCTGTCCAGCTACTTGCCTAATGATTCATAACTTGTTGGTGCCTCGTCATCGCAGACGAGGCGCAAGAGATTCTCGTCAGGGAAGGAACAGGGGCCAGCAGGCTTGGAGAAGTGGAGATGGTCGAAAGGCGGGGAGAGCAACATGCGAGCCGGTAGAGGATGAAGGGAAGGGCTGACGGACAAGCATACGAGAGGCAAGAAGGGAAAGGAGGACAGAGAGAGTCGGGAGGGAGAAGGAGATGCAGCATCGGTCATTACGATCCTTATGTGTATATTCGATATCTCTGTACGTCAAGTCAGGTTGAGGCCTCAAAGGAGGATGAAGGTCCGTAGACTTCACGAGCCTCCCAGCGCCTTTCGCTTCTGCTTCTCCAGCTCCTGCACCAACATCAATCCTCCTCCTCCTCCTCCTCCTCCTCCTCTTCCTCCATCCCTCCTCCTCCTCACATTTACCCATTCTTTCCATGCTCTCATTTCTACTTCCCTTGGACCCTATCTACTCCCTCCATCTCCTCCCTCCTTCCTCTTCCCTCCTCCACGTACCGCGTCCAGCCACATGATGTTCTGGTGCTGCTCCTCCAGGCGGCGCTCGAGGTCGCGGGTCTTCTTCTCCCGCACTTCCAACTCGCTCCTCATCGACTGCATTTCTGCTGCCGCTTGCGCCTGCAGCTGCTCTCGCTCCAGCAGAGACGCCTGGAGGTTCCTCTCGGTAGAGCTGCCGCCAAGTCACTTGATGAACGTGATGGCATAGAGGAGGGTTGGTTGTGATGGTGAAGGAGTGAAGGAGGAGGAGGAGGAGAGGGAGAAGGTGGAGGGGAGCAAGGGGATAGTGAAACCTGAGTCGCTCCTGGAGAAGTTTGACGTCCTTGATGTAAGAAGCTTCGGCGCTTCCCCACTCTTGGGAGGAATTCTTGATCTCGATCCTGACCAGAACTCAAAAATTTCCCTCTTGACAACTTTGACACAAGCACCACCAGCTCCACACCCCATCTTTCTTCTCTCAATCTTTCTCCTCTCAATCATCATCGTGATTATCGACAACGACATGGTAACCAGCATCATCATCACCAGTATCATCATCACAAGCATCCGTCAAGAGCAAAAACAAGAACAATATGATCATCAAAGTCATCATCTTACTGCATCTTGCGCAGGCGAGACTCCAGATCTTCTTTCTCGGCCACCAGCTGACCCTCGCGCTCCCTGTCATCAGCTCAGCCATCGGGAGGCGCAAACTTCCAACAGACTCCACCTGCTGGCCAGCACAATGTTCTCCATCTCCTGCTCCAACCTCGTAATGTTCCCTGAGGAAGCCAGTGAGGTGGCGACCAGCTGGAGAGCAGCTGGACTCACTCTGAAGGTTTCCGTTCTGCATCCTCATCTCGTTGAGCTGAGTCTCCGCAGCGTTGAGCTCGTCGGTGATCTGAGCAAGAAGTGAGAAGAAGAAAAGGAGGAGCGAGGTGAAGGAGGAGAACATCGTAGTAACGTCAAACAAGGATGATGGGGGACCTGGCGGAGCTTGCTTCTCTCGTCCTCGATCATCTGCTTCAGGTTCGCCACACTCTGATCCGCGTGCTGAAGAGTTCCATCCTGCAAGGAGAAGATCACGAGAAGGAGGGAGTGAGGAGGGAGAGATGCTGAGGAAGGGAGATTAAGAGGAGGAGAAAACGGGAGGAGCAGGAGGAGGAGGAGGAGGAGGAGGAGGAGGAGGAGGAGTTAGAGATTTCTGAGCTTGCTCACCTGGTTCTTGAGGCGATTCTTGAGGTCGGCAATGAGCTGATCCTTCTCGCCCACCAGCAGGTCCATCTTGCTCTGCATCCCCCAGCTCAGCCTCCAGCTGTACAGAGCGAGTCACGACTGACCTGCAGCCTGCTGATCTCATCCTCCGACGAGAGCTTGAGATCGCGCAGCTCCTGCACCTTCGCCTCCAGGCCAGTCTGTGAAGGATAAGGTGAATCCGCCTGCTAGTGCTCCCTCCTGCCTTCCTCTCCCGTTTCTCTTCCTTGCCCATCGTCCTCGTTCCTCAGAATCTCCTCAATCCCTCTCTCGTCTTTTCACCGCTGCGCTTCTTTCGCTACCGTTGCTAGCACCCACCCCAAACTCCCTCCCTTCTCCATGCTTCCTGCCCTTCACCCCCCACCCCCTCCATCTCCTTCCCCTCTCCGGGTCACCTGAAATTCCTTGAGCTTGTCGTCGATTGCCAACATCTCGCTCATCTTCACTTCCATGAAGCAAGCGTCCTTCCACATTGCGAAGGCTGAGGACTGCAGGCACCACCGGGCACGTCAGGCAGGAACAGGGAGGAGGAGGAGGAGGACACACCATCCCGCCCTTGGTCCAGCGGACGGCGATCTTCTCCATGAGCCTGCGAGAGGGTGAGGGAGGAGGAGGAGGGTCAGCGAGCTTTCACTTTCTCTTGCGCTTCTCGTCCACCAACTCCTCGTGCCAGGTGCTGCAAAACAATCAGACAAGATAAAGAGAAGGCGACGATGAGCGAGGGGGGGGACCAGGGAACGAGGAGGGAGGAGGGAGGAGGGAGGAGGAGGAGGAGGAGGAGGAGCTAAAATTGGGAGGGGAACGTTGGGAAGGTGGACTTCTTACTTGAAGCACATGGTAACACCCATGAGCATCCAGCGCTTCATGATCGCTCCGCCCACGCGCTGAGAGACTCTTAGTGTTGGTAGACGAAGCGAACAAGAATGAACCTGCATGCGCCCTTCTTCGGTCACGATGTACGTCCATCGCTGTAGAAACAGGTCAACCCGTTTCTCGTCCTTCTCCTCCCACCTCTCCCCCCACAAACTCTCGCTCTCCCTCGTCTCAAGCATAATGTTTCCCTCAGCCTCTTTCTTCTCTTGCGTCTCTTCCTCTCTCCTCCTCTACCGCGAAGGCCTTGATGAGGGAGGTGTTGAGGATGCGGGTGCGAATCTACGGGCAGTTCGGTTACTGGGCGGCACTGGGCTGGACGGCACAAACAGCACCTTCTTGAAGATGGCGCCGAACTTCTTGGCCTCCTGCAGCACAACTTCAGCTCGGAAGAGGTCGAGGAGGAGGCGCAAACCCAGATGTTCGAGGCCCAGGTGGAGAAGGCGATGTTGACGGACTGAGGCGGGAGGGGTAAGAGGAGTTAAGCAAGAGACCCCTCAGCCACACCTGGTTCTGCCACTTGTACACGATCTTGGAGGCGATGACCCGCATCTGAGCAGACTTTGACTTGACCATCGACACCAACATGACCTGACCTTCTGAATCTCCTCGATCGTCTCCTTCCAGCGGTTAAGCGCCATCAGCACCGACCGGTTGCAGATCCTAGTCAAACTTGTCATGCTGCGGTTGTCGCCAGGAGGAGCTGCACCTCCGGAAGACGACCCTGAACTTACGGTTCTTGGCCACGTCAGCTCGCCACATTTGGAAGAGCTGCGTGGAGAATCAGCGAGGAAGCAGCGAGACTGAAGCCACTCACCACTCGCTTGTCTGTGTTGGCCCAAGTCTTGAGGACAAAGCGAATGATCTGCTGATTCTTGCCGGAAATGGTGATCTCCGACTGTACGATGATGATGATGTGGAAAAGGAGGAAAGAGGGGAAGAAGAGAAGAGAAGAAGTAAATTTCCCTTTCAAGCTCAAAAGCGCATGAGCTCACCGAGTCAAGAGCACTCACGAGTGCGTCTCTAGCCTCAGATGCTTTGGGCATCATCGCCCCGAGCTTGATCCTTCCGCATGTGGGCTTGGTGAACAACTTGCTGTCGCTGTTCTTGATCTGCGGGCCAGTTACGAGGAAGAAAGAGAGGAGGAGGTGCAAAAATGGAGACGGTAAAGAGAACGAGAACGCGAGACAAGGGGAATGCTATTAGAGGAAGAGAGCAGAGGGAAAAGGGGAGGGGGAAGGGGGAGGGGAGGAAGAGGGGAACGAGGGAGGGGAGGGAGAGAAGGAGAAATTGATCACACCATCTTCTCCAGCTGCATCGCCAGGTCCTTTGCATGCACTCCAGTAGGATCGTCCTCGGCAGGAACAACTTCGATGTGAAGCCTGATGCCCTTGCCTTCCTTGGGCCTTTGAGCGAGCAGAACCTGTCAAGTCCGTCACTTTCCCTCCTCCCCCGCCAGCAGCAACGAGCACCTTAAGCCTGTCCGTGCTGCATCCGACGGCCGACGCGAGGTCAGCGGTGAAGTTTGTTTTGAAGCGAATCATTTCCTGATACACGTCAGAAGAGGGGTTGTCACAACATGCTGACCTCGTGGTCCAGCATCAGATCGGTGTAGTTGAATTGCTGCAGAGCCATGTTAGTGTGAGATAGAGAGAAACCACAACAACACAAGGAGAAGACTTCTATGCAGCACGTGGAAGGAGAGTAGGAGAACAAGAAGAAGGGCAGGGGTCAGCGACAGCAGCAGGCATACATGAGGATGAGAGCAACAAGGGGACGTGAGATGATCCAACCTGAGTCTCAACGATAACGATCTTGTGCTCAGACATGAGAAGCTCTGAGGCGATGTCGTGCAGGTCGTTAGCGAACTTGCGAGACTCGGACAGCTGGAGGCAAGGAGCTCAACGATCGTCGTTGACAAGCTCGTCAGTTGTTACCTGCTTGTCAATCTCCTGGATGATCGCGGTCTTCTCAGCGATGGTCGTGTCCTTCTGAGCGTTGTCCTCTTCCAGTTTCTGTCATGGCCGTAAGACGGCGGCGAAGGATAACTTCAGTTTGACACCTTCTTCCTCTGCTCGAGCTCGGCGATGTTGTCCTCAAGGTCCTTCTTGACCTTCTCGATCCAGCGATGCTTGACCTTGCTCTGGGTTGCCGACCTTGAGTCTCCTTGAAGGAAAACG